CTAGCTAGCTAGCTAGCTAGCTAGCTAGCTAGCTGCATGGGTAGCTAGCTAGCTAGCTAGCTAGCTAGCCAGCTAGCTAGCTAACCAGTGTGAGGGGCCGCTGAGTTTGCAGGCCAAGCCTTTGATTTGGGGCCAAGTCCTCAGCTGGAGCACAACAGAACTCTTGCTGCTTACGTCAGGGGCAAAGACGTGCGCCGAAGCAAACTCCTAGGGTTTAGGGTTTAGGGTTTAGGGTTAAGGGTTCAGGGTTTAGGGCTTGGGGCTAGGGGTTGAGGGTTTGAGGGAAGCTTCGGAGTGTTTGGCACTGTCGTGGATGGGGTAATGTTGCTGCCGCGCGTGTCGCCTTTGCTGCTGCTGTCGGTGCTGCTTTTGCTGCTGCTGTTGCTGCTGTTGCTGATACTACTGCTGATGCTTTTGTTGCCGCCGTTGCTGCTGTTGCTGCTGCTGCTGCTGCTGCAGCTGTGACTGGTGGTAGTGCCGCTACTGTTCTTGGTGGTGATGCTGCAACTGCTCGCGCTGCAGCAGCTGCTATTGCTGCTGCTGCTGTTATTGCTGCTGCTGTTGTTGCTGCTGCTGCTGCTGCAGAAGAAGACCCACACTGACGTAAACGTGAGGGGGTTTTGGGCTGATGTTGTTTGCGGCCCCTACTACACTTTAGGTTAGTTGATGCAGCAAAATAAATTAATTAATTCATTTATTTAAACAAATAAAGTAGGCAGCAGCAGCAGCAGCAGATTAAACACAATTGGCAGCAGCAGCAGCAGCAGCAGCAGAATACTGCAGCAACCACCGCAGCTACAGCGGCAGAGGCAGGATAGTCCACTTTTGAAAGACAAAGCAGCAGCGGCAGCAGCAGTAACAGCAGCATGTCGTTGGTGCTGCTGCTGTTGCCGCTGCTGTTGCTGCTGCTGTTGCTGCTCCCTGTTACTGCTGTTGCTGCTGCTGGTGTTGCTGCTGCTGCTGCTGCTGCTGGTCTGCTTGTCCGTTGCATCTGTTACCCTGCACTGTCTGTACACCTAAATTAATATTCAGCACTTCTATTTTGTTCAAAGCAAATGACACCAAGCAGATGAGCAGCAGCAGCAGCAACAACAACAACAACTGCAGCAGCAGCAGCAGCAGCAGCAGCAGCAGCCGCTGCGGCTCGGTGCCTGCAGGTGCTGATGTGGACGAGCCTTTTAGAATGGAGGCATTTCGAATTGCAAGCCAACAGCAAAGACACGTAAGCTACTGCTGTTGCTGCTGTTGTTGTTGCTGCTGCTGCTGCTGGCGCTGCTGCTATTGCCTCTAGTGTTGCTAGTGTTGCTGCTGCTCTTCGTTCTGCTGCTGCTGGCATTTCTTCGGCATTTTTTGCTGCTGGCTCTGGTTCTGCAGTAGCCGCTGCTGCTGGTTTTGCTGCTGCTGCTCATGCTGTTGTTTCTGCTGCTGCCTCGTGCAGCTGCGGCTGCTGCTGCTGCTGCTGCTGCTTGTGCGCTGCTGCAGCAGCAGCAGCAGGAGTAGCATTTGTTCTGCAGCCCTTTCTACAGCAGGTGTACATACACCCGAATGCATGCATGCGACTCTCTTCTGCAACTTTGCATGCAGAATTCTCAAGAAGTTTTTGAGTTTAATTTAATGGCAATTTTGCTGCAGCTGCAGCAGGGGAAGGTCAGCAGCAGGCCCGGCTTTTCTCTGCTTAACTGCTGCTGCTGCTGCTGCTGCTGCTGCTGCTGCTGCGCGCCTTAGCAGGTGCTGTGCTTGTCTTCTGTGCGCATTGCATGCACATGCAAATAAATAATTAAAAATATATTTAAGTAAATATTGTTTTTTCCTTATATGCATTTGTTTATAAAAGCTTACGCTTGTTTGTGATTTCCAGTTGCGGGTTTACTCCAAGGGTTTAGGGTTTAGCGTTTAGGGTGTAGGGTTTGAGCTCGGGGGTTTAGGGTTTAGGGTTTAGGGTTTAAGGTTTGTTAAGGTCTTGTGAGGCACGCAGACGTTGACCCTTCCGGAGACAGCAGCTGCCACAGACCGGTAAGCAGCAAAAGCGCAAAAGGCTAAGGGTTTAGGGTTTAGGGTTTAGGGTTTAGGGTTTAGGGTTAAGGGTTTAGAATTTGGGATTCAGCGCAGCCTGTTCTTGCCACAGATATCCTTATCCTACTTTGCTTGAAATGGCATTGGGGGCTCAAAGACAAAAGAAAGAAAAGCAAAGCGATGAAAAAGACACAGAAATAAACACAGGAAATACAAACTGCAGCAGCAGCAGCAGCAACAGCAGCAACAGCAGCAGCAGCAGCACTTCTCAGACGGGCAATGAGCATACCCGTGGAGAGGAAGATACTGCGAACATAGTCTCTAAAGACACCGACGGAAGCAGCAGCAGCAGCGGCGCTGAGAGAAGCAGCAGCAGCAGCAGTAGCAGCAGCAGCAGCAGCAGCAGCAACAGCAGCAGCGGCGAAAGCAGCAGCAGCAGCAGTAGCAGCAGCAGCAGCAGCAACTCCGAAGGCAGTAGCATCAACAGCGGCAGCAGCAATGGAAGCGTCGAAAGCAACAGCAGCAGCAGCAAAGACAACAACAACAACGAGCCCAGCAGCAGCAAAGACAACAACAACAACGAGCCCAGCAGCAGCAGCAGCGGCAGCAGCAGTGCTCAAGAGCCTCCTGAGGAAGAAGCTGAGGGTGTTTGCGGAACCCTTCGCGATTCCCGCAGAGGCAAGATTTGTTTGCGGTCTCCCCGCTGCTGCTGCTGTTGTTGCTGCTGCGGTTGCTGCTGCTGTTGCTGCTGCTGTTGTTGCTGCTGTGTTGCTGCTGCAGCAGCTGCTGGCTCTCTCGCTCTGGCTGCTGTTGTCGTTGCTGCTGCTGCTTCTGTTGCTGCTGCCGCGGCAGCCAATGCCGGTGGCCTTGCTGCTGCCATTGCTGCCTGCTGCTGCTGCCACGCTGCTGCGGCTGCTGCTGCTGCTGCTGCTGCTGCGCAGGCCCCGGCTGGGAAGGTGTCTCCGTTTGTCTCCTTTTAGGGACTCTAGAAGAAGCAACAAAACACAGGCGGTGGGCCCAGGAGATTTGATTTAGTACAAAGTATTTATTTCAATGAAAATGCATTTTGGATTTAAAAATTGGCATTTAATTTATGTTTTCTAAATCTTTATTCCATTTAAAGTATCTTCTTTTCAAATATATTATCTATAATATATATTTATGAATATATAAACATCTTTTGATTTTATAAAATTTTAAACTTTTGAAAAAATAAAAATATTTTATTTCTCAGCTCTTCTCCGAGCTGTACAGACACCTGACCTTAGAAACAAAAAGTCGCAAATTTTTATTTTTTAAATATTTTTAATAATTATATAATTAGATTTTAAATGCAGTTTTAATTTCTGCATGCAAGAAGCTTCATTTATAATTAATTATTTATTTTAATATTTAAAGGGAAAGGGTTTTGAAAATTTTCTCTTCAAATCTCAGGTGTACGTACACTGCACAGATGCATCCATCCGATTCTTGTATTTGCAAATAAATATTTTAAAATGTTTTTTTATTTTTTTAAATGTGTAAATAAAAAAATAAATGCAAATGCACATATTTAAATATATTTGCAGACAATGTAAATAAATATTTATTTTCATAAATCAAATTTTCTCTTCATTCAAATGCGCATGCAGGCGTGGGGCTGTACAGACACCTCAGCGTACATACATAATTAGACGAGAAAACAAATATATAAATATTATAATAATTGTCATTTTGCGGAATTACATTTTTGTAT